GCCTCCCCCCCATGATTTATAGAGATTCTTAAAAACATCCCCTTGAGTCCTTCACACCAGAAATATGTGCTGCTCTGTCCCAGCTGAACACAGAAAACGGGAGCCCAGTACTTTCAGAGAGTCCATGTATCCAGATTATCTAGAGAGATGGGACTGGGGACTGGAGCTAAATCCTGACAGAAATGATCATTATTGTCTCTGTTGGCAACATCACAAAATGTACCTGTAGCAGTAGGGGGTCAAAAACTTTCCCTGTCTCCCTCCCTGCTGCTTCCCTCCCACTCTCATTCACATTGTTGCCTTAAAAAGAAATCACGCCAGCTGGTGCCGCAGGATGTCAGCCAACCAACCACAACATCTCACTTGCTGGGAAAGAAGTTTTTGATAAACAGTCAGATCTTTCAACCCTGATGCAACAAACACTTATATATTCAAGAAATATGTAGTAGTTCATCATCAAGAAGTGTGTATCTTGTCCCCTGCCTGAGACTTTTCAATGCTGAGAAAAACTCTGGAAATACAAACACTGAAGGACAGATTCTCTGTCTTAATACTTTCTTGTCATAAGCACGTTGAACAGCCAACAAAGTGATCACTTCATAGAGACTTCCCCTCGGCTCAGATTAACGTAGATTGCTTCGTCAAACTGGAATGATGATCGCTAAATGGAGGAGGTGGTAAATGAAACCACTTATCAGCCACTTACCATCTTGAGATCCCTCTCCAGACAGTTTAAGACCGATTCAAATAATGATTCACGTGACCCTAGCGACCCACATGTGACCTCGACAACTCTCAAGGTGTTAACGACCCCAAAAGTGGTTAAATGCCTGGGGCTACTTATAGCACTTACTTCACCACTCAATCAGACTAACTTCGGAGACTTCGGCTACAGATCACTTCATGGTCAGTATAGACAGGAGGAATATTACAGCAGCTGGTAACTCTCGATGTATACAAGGCACGTAAGAATTTTATCATGTCAGACATGAAAGAATCTGAAACTATCCTTTAAATCAGCTGGAATGCCTGGTTGATTCCGAATGAAGCCGCCCCACCAAAGTTAATTAACTTGAGCTTTTCTTTTAATAACTTTTTTTTTGTCAGACTGGAAGAGGAATTGATTAAAACCTTGCCCAAGACCCAGACTCATTACAACAATGTAACAGCCCACCCACTTTTGCTATGTAGGGGCCTAGCAAACATTGTCCCATGGCCCACTGAGTCTCACACTTTAGTTGGAGTACGTTACGACAACCGTTTCGATTGCTTACAGGATATTCAGTCATTCCAGTCAAACTGTCAGAGTTGCCAGATGTTGTCGCCTGATGTCCCCTGAGTCATTCCTCAAAGTGTTTCCCTTTTGTCATTTCACTACTCTCTGGTGAGTTGCTTATGTGCGTGAAATATTTCAAATGAATTCAAACTGGATCCTGAGCCGTCAAATGAAAGATGATCATGTCAGGGGAAGAGGATTAAAATGCCTCTGTGCCAATCCCTTCATATCCATGGGAAAGCGTGAGGGGGGTTCCTTCCTCCTTTATCCATTCGGTACTCATTGACCAAAAAATTAACAGAGAAAATTACAGTGCCTGTATGAACGGCGGACTAAAAGTTTCCTAGATGGATAAATGAACTGTCTGAATGGGAATAATTATTCAGGGAGCTTGGGAAGTAGAATTCTTTTGAAAAGTGATTTTTTTTTAGGAACAAAACTTTCAAAATTGCTGCTTTAGATGGCGATGTGGTGTAACAGTAATGAGGCAACCTGGTGCTGCTGTGGTGAGTCATAACTTCCTCTTCCTGTAAATATAGAACACCTACATGGAGCCAAAGGGCAAAAACTAGAGGAAGCTTGCCTGAACACCTTTGTCGGAGAGCATCACATCGTGCATGTGTGCATTTCCATTACTTCAGTTGTTCAGATGTGTATTCATTTTCTTTTTTTCAGAAACACTGAGAAGTTCATAATAAGTTTAACTACAAAAAGAGCCAAAAGTGAGGACACGGAGTACATTTTTGCAGGTCTCCATGACATTAAATGCTTACTTTGGGGTTAGCCGATGGGGTTCGCATTACAGTTCAGCTAAGGGTAAAACATGGTCAGAGGCTGGGAAATGAAACCAAGTTAACTGAATTTTTTCCTAAGTCTGAAATCAAAAGTGCTGTGATGTGCACACAGGAGACAGAAGGCCTCCAACATGTGGCAACCGGCGTGCAATCTCCTCTGTGGGTACACGCGCACGGTCTGCAGCAAGAAATGTGTACTCGCACAAGCTGCACTTTTGTCCATATTAGCACTGTTTTTGCTCTCCGACAATGTAGGAGCCACTGAGGATCAGCCTATACCAAGCACACAGGAAGGCTGATGTAGAAGAAGGTGGAAAAAGCTGAATGTGATCGTTCTTTGTTAAAACTTTTAGTTTCTCGATGTCAACACTGTACACCATGTGTGCGGGAGTCAATTTGTTTTTGTGCTCTCCTGGTTTAAATGCGACGGTTAATTGAACATTAATGCATTTTGGAATTAGGTGGAAAAGAAGGTGGTTGGGTTAGGGGCCCCACAGATCAATGAGCCAATCAACAACACACTCCATGTGGAGTCAGCGCAGATGCAAACATTGATGGAGGGTTGTGCTGGGTCTGTAGACCAGCAGCAGAAAAGTGATTGCAGAGCCCACAGCAAGAAGCCTGTTTAGTTGCAAGTTCAAGCATACGATGACTAGACATCCCAGTTTTTCCAATATTGTGTTTCTGCTAGAACCTGTCATTATGCTAACAGTTAGCTGTCCTGCTGAAGAGACAGTCTGTCTTTTCTAAAGAGCTCCAGGAGGCTTACTCCTCCCTTCACAAGGCACCCGTCAATGAAAATGCTGCGCTCATGGCATCTAGGGTGTTGAAAGGTGCGCCCAGTAGGTGTGCTAAGAACTGAAATAATTGTCTCCCGTACTGAAAATGCATATGGTGCGTGCATAAGCATGTACATGTGCGTGTGCATGAACATATGGTACACTTGGTACACAAAAGGCCCACACAGGCACTGCAGGTTAATTCCTCAGCAGTCACCTACTGTCAACAGAGGAGGAAGGAAGTAACATGTTGTGTATTAAAGCTGAACTGACATTACTCTCAGTCACTGGTGAGAGAAGCCCCACTGCAAAAGCTAGTGATTCGGTCAGAGACGTAATGTTTTCAGCAACTGACTGCTATCTAAAAAAGAACAATGGATGGACCTCAACAAGCAAATTCATCAATTATATTTGATATTTTCCTATAGAAATAAATAATAATAACATTTTGATTATGCCTGGTAATAAGCATAAAAGCTTTTTATGACATTGTATGCCATAGACACATGACAGTATATGGTGCCCTAACACATTATGCCAGCCAAAACGTCTGTGTTGACAACTGCAAACAGACATACACTATATCCATTTTTTTTTTTAAATTAATTTTTCTGTTGTTTTTGTTTTCTACATTAAATGACTCTAATGAATGAATCTAATACATTTGCTATTTTCACAATGCTTCCAAATGAATACACCTGCCCTAGCTCAGCTAGAATGAATGAATGAATTGAATCAAATCCTTTAATAGTAAGCATATGATTGTGATATGACCTCATATTTAATGATTGCACAAAAGTTACAGAAACTACACCCCAATGCCTGAATCTAAGCAATTTAAGGAGGCTACACCTATCAAACTGATTTACTAAAATACACTTAATACTGCGGGACCTGGTTAACTATAGGACATGAATGTCAGAGCATTTTATACAGCAATAATTGGAGGTGCTGTTACGTGATCTTCATAACAAATGTGTATTGTGTTGTTTTCATCCTCCCCACGATTAGGGAAATAAAACTTCAAGGTGAGTGTGAATTTTGTGTTTTCAAGCAGATATTTATCTTTGTTGTACTTTTTAGATAAAGCATATTTTCAGTATAGCCACAAAAAGGTTTACCTCCAATCTGAGCTTATGTTCTTTTTGGGGTCAGCATGTTTACACAAGTTTAATAGATCACTTAAAGCAGATTTCCTATCTGTGACCAAAAATCATTCTAATAAAAGAGTTGACTTGTAAGATTAGTGATGCAGTGAGTTGTACTAGTGTTATTTCACAGATTTTGCGGGATAATAAATTCAGTCTTTTGCAAATTAGATCATTTATCTCAAATATGGAAATAAAGAGCAACCCAAAATAAAAGTAAAAAAACAATAGTTATTGAGATAATAAGACAAACAAAAGGTGTTAGTTCTGCACACAGGGTCACACACTTCCTGTTAGCAGTACCATTCACCTACTGCCTATTCCAAACCATTAATCCACATACAGCTGTATGTATCCCTGTCTTTGTTGCAGTGATGAAAGAGGTATCAGGGACTTTAAGCTTCCTCCATATAGATTTATAGATTTTGAAGCAAGTGTCCCAGTCAGTTGCTTCTCCCTCACACCTTTCCCTGGCTGTCAACACTCCCACCCTGAAAATCAATCACTTCCCAAATACACTGCTACTCTTTAGTTTAAACAAAGATCATTTCGTATACACTTCACCACACAGGGGGGCAACGGCCACCACTGATCCTATAATAAATCTAATGTCATATCATAACAAGCCCAAAGGTTAGGTCTTAAACATTAAACTGAGAGTGAGTAAAGTATTTCATGGGGCCACTCGACGAAAAACAATTAAGAAAATACATTTTAATCTGATTGCTGAGTAGCACAAGCACAGGAGTCCCTTATAGTCCACTTCTTTCGTTGTGTGGAACAACAAACTTGCCTTTACACCTGCCGAAATTCACACACCTGGGATTAAAAAAAAGAAAAAAAAGACTATTGTAGGGATTTCCCTTTCTTTTGCTCTCGCTTAATTCACCTTATTAAGCTTCCATGCACATATGACTCTGATATAGCATGGGGCATCTATTTTAGTCTTATGATTTGTCTTAACAAACGGAGGGTATTACCCACGCAAATGTGTAAGACTCACCTACAATGAACCACAGAAGCGTGTGTTTGTGCAGAGCTGCTCCGGTCTGCGATCCCATCCTGTCGCTCTCAAAATGATCCACCGACTCAAGTTTTGGGAGAGATGTGAAGGGGGAGAAATCAACTTACTAGAGCTCAAAGAGTAATAGGTAACACCACAAATGAGAGCTGGGGAAGAAATCCATCTAATGCGGTCGTCCGGTCAATGAGCCTCTGCTGTATCACCTTGCGCAAAACTGCTGGGGGGTGGAGGGGTGGAGGGGGGGAGCCAAGACTCGTCCTTGTTCCTGCTGAACCTCAACTCCCCCGAGTCCTCCTGTCACCGACCCTCTGTCATCCGGACATGAAACATATTGAGTCGTAAAGTTGGAGCTGTCTTCCCAAGCAGCCGTCCTGAGGTTTGGAGAAATCCAGAGCGCGCTTGGTGAATTGTGCAGTGTTGGAAACTGTGCTGTGCTGTGCTGTGCGCAACTGGAGGCTCCAGCCTGGGACCGGCGGAACTGAGAGACTGAGAGGGTTCAGTGCTTCTCTCAGGGACGACACGGCTGTGGGTGAGCGGAGGGGACACGGGACAGACCCAAACATAGCAAATACAGCGTGGGGAGGGGAAGAGAGGGTGATTTGGACGAGGGAGGAGGCACTGGACTCTGTATGGTACTTTTCCATTGGTTAATCGGACACATTCCAGCGACCTAAGCAGCAAAGTTCAAAATGCAGATTGTTGATGCCTTTTATAAAAATAAAAGAAAATTGGCGGTTACCATGGGAGAAAAAGCACATACGGTGTACAGAAATATCACTTCCTGAATTTACACAACACTGAGCTTAGTATGCATAACAGTAGTGAGATCCACCTGCGCTGTGTATATGCAAACAGGTGCAGTGTGGATACAGTGCGTGGATGTGTTCTGCTGGTTCAGGAATAGAGGGTTCACAGTTGTACGACACCGCCATCTAGTTGTTATGAGGAGCTTTACAGTGCGACCTCACTCAGATGAGTGGAGTTACATGGGCTTTAAGGAGTTCATGAGTCAGATTTAATTCATGCCATGATGCTGTGATTAAAGACCCTATCACTTTGTTCAATTTGTCAGCTTCTGTGTTTCTGTCTTTTTTATATTTAGAAGGAGAGATAAAAGAAGATATTTTGTGATTTTAATCATGACACACTTTCTTTTTTTTTTAATTATAAAAGGATGGGTTGTCTTGAACGTAACACTGAAATTCTTTAACAGCTCAAAGTGGTTTTAGCTTTAGCAGCAATGAACAAAAAAAAACTGTTCAGCATTTCTGCATCCACCCAGTGTGAGGATAGTAGAAAAACATCAGTGGAATATTTCACATTTCACTGCAGCGTACCGGTAGTATATATTTGGATCTGCATTGTACATGTGTTCTCATACACTTGTAATTGTACAATGCACTGTGCTGTTTCAGTGGAAAAATGCATGAGATTTTATTTTTCTGTGGATTGTCACAGGAATCATCTAGACAGGTCCAACAAACAGAGACCTGAGTAAAACTATTTTTGTCAGACACATATAGCCTACACACACACACACACACACACACACACACACACACACGAAATAATGTTCGAAATACTGTATGTGTGTAATGTATGCGGGACAAACAGTTTTAATGGTAATAAAAGCATCATTCTCTATGTAGTGCCCTTTTAAAATACATTTGGGTTTATTTTTATCTTTTATTTCAAAGATAAAACTTGTTTGTCGTGTCTTTTGAAGTGTATAAAAGGTATAAAAGGTGTCTTTTTTTTTTTGCTGCAGTTCGCTTTGAACCCAGTGTGAAAAGGCACATTCATTTGTATCGAGAGGCCTGAAGATGACTCATCTATGTGGGTTGGTAAGGTCTGTAGTTTTAGCAAAACCTTTGCTTTTTTTTTTGCACTTCACTGCCAGATACTTTTGTGTGGCTTTATGTTACATCATAGAAACAGAGGAAGCTCACAGGCAACAAAAAAAAAAAAAAAGTGAAATGGTTGGATGGAAAACTCAGCATGTCAAATAATTTCCGAGCATCACAAATATCTGTCCTCAAGAGTATTTCCAGGTGGGATAACACCGAGTGGATTCACTAAGACTAAGCACAACGTCCTAATTTAATGGTCCACTCAGGACAAAATAGTAAAACATTATGGAAGAAACACCAAAGAGTACGGGGGAGAATTTTAGTAGGGCAAGAAGAAAGTTAAGAGGAAAAGAAGATTTTATTATCTCTGTTGAACAGAGTGGGGATGAAGAAAATATGAAATCCAGACCACAACAAATTCTAGGAAGAAAAAAAAAAAAGAAAACAGTTGGCAAAACATTGATGTTCTCACTTTGTCTTAAAGTGTCAGGCAACACACAGCCTGCTGGCATTTAAAACCACTGTCTGCCTGCCTGCCTGTCTGTCTGACCGTCTCCAAGGCAACCAAGTGTAAACGACAGCAGGAGGCGTGCAGCAAAAACGGAGAAAGGAGAGGAAACACAAGAGTGGAGAGTCTGTTGAAAAGCATCAAAGGTTTGCTGGTCAAAGAAGGTTAGAGAAGACATACGGGCGGGATGTGAAGAAGGGGAAAGACTCAGATGAGATGGCATCACCACTGTAAGTACACTTTAGTTCATTTCAACAATTTAATGCAATTAATGGGTGTGACGATCATTACGAGGAGTGAAATTAACAATAATATCCAGAAAGGTCCTTTACATCGTCTAAAATACACTTTTGTAATATATTTATAGCTGATATTGTTGTTAACATGTTGATATATGAGACGCTTCAGCCATATTGTCTGTTGCTGTGTTAGTGCTGTCAAACATTAAACCAGACAGAGCTCAGCCCTCAAAGAGTCATTTCTCTTGTGCATGCATGTACGCACACACACACACACACACACACACACACACACACACAGAAGTACACACGCTGCACATACACATGTGAACTGTCATTATTGGAGAAGCTCATTTAGAGCATATGTATGGTGAATCAGTTGTAGGAAAAACATGAGTAATTCCTATCACACCCCCTGTGCAGTTTCTGCAGGGACCATTGGGTCATTAGAGAATTACATCACAGTGATAACATCACAGTAATGGTCACACAAACACACAGACTGCAGCAGACACTGAGCTGAAAGCATTCAGTCAGATATATCAGTGCAGTGTTTGCAATAATTTGCTTCTTTTTTTCTTTTTTTTTTTCCATAAGTCTGGTCTGACCTCCTGCTCTGACTCTGAACTTTTCTCCGGCTTCAGCTCACGCAGATCTGACTGGAAAGCTGTGAACTATGGAGAGAAGTGAGAAGACAGAGAAGAAGTGGCGTGGTGTGGATGAGATGCTGAAAAGGGAGCAGGAGGAGGGAAATAAAGAAGAGGATTTAGTTGTGAGCCGTGGACAAGAGGTGGATGGACAGGTGGTCTCTGACGCTGAGGATGAGGAAGAGCGAGGATGCACTCCCCTTATCAGTGCCTGTCGTAAAGGCATGACTGAGGTAAGTTGTGTGTATGTGTGTGTGTGTGTGTAAAAGACTCTATTTGGCACGGGGACGTCTATTGTTGTGTAATCATGGTTCAGCTATTACTTGGCTGATCCGACATCAGTCCATTGTTCAATGGAAAATTCCTACAAGTGAGCATGTCAGAGGTTGAGGGATTTGGGTGTGGGTTGGGTGACATGTTGTATTTTTCCTTCCACTGACAATAACATGTGTTTACATGCATGTGATATCCGTGTGACTTGAATCTTTCTCTTTACATAACATCTCTGCGTTCTCTTGGGGAGCCATGTTCAAAACAAGCTCATGACTTAACTGTAACACAGGAGACACACTCCCCCTGTGATCCCCATGTGAAGTGACATAAGCCACTGAAATAAAAGCAGATATTTTGCAGAATTTTATGTTTGCAAATACTCTCACCTCACATGGTATCTCAGAAACACTGTAATACTTGTATAACAGTTTACTGATACAAAATATGAAAAGCAACAGTCGTTTTATTACAAAATCTTTCATTTGAACCAGTCTACTGTTTTTTCCTTTTGGTTTCATTTACTGTTTTTCTGTGTGATGTTGTTAAAAGGTGGTGCAGCGGTTGCTGAACACCGGGGCTGATATGACCTTGTGTGACTGCAGCCAGAAGACAGCGCTCCATGTAAGCCCTCCTGAGCTCCAGGGAAAAGTGTTGGGGTGGATGTCGAGGCCTCATCTGCCTCCCCAGGCACAGCTGCTGCAGGCTTCCTGGCAGGGAGACTTACACTCCTTACAGCAGCTGCTGGTAAAGCTCCCACACACACACACATACACAAACACTCCCACTCAGGTGTTAGAGGATTTCCCAGATGAGCAAAGACAACAGAGGGAAACAACAAAGTTTTCCTATGGCAAAAACACAACTGGGTATTCTGTTTATATTTAGTCGAAGAATTCAGAGTCATTACATTTATGGATGGATAGCTTGTCTACCAGCAAATCTATCATTTTTGAGAAATGTGGTTTCTCTTAATGCCTACCAGTGAGAACAGTAGGAGGATGCGTTCATGGTGGTTGGACCAAAAACTGATTTTTATTTACAAACCTCTAAAACAAATTTAAAAAAAATGTAATAATGTAATGTCATAATAAACTCCATGAGGTGGCTAGACATGAAAACACATTCCCGAATCATAATCAGCCCAGGTCAAGAAACAGGCTGACCTATTTCACTGTGTCCTCGTGTGACTTTGTGTAATTGGAAATTATTATGACAAGCTTTAGATTAAAAAACACTTCACTGGGGTTTTACCAGAGAAATTATTTCTACTTCCAGAGCGATTCTGTCTCCAAGCTGCTACATTTCGAGTTGAATGTGTGTAAAGAGTTTTTAGAAATGAGATAAACTTGTTAATTTCTAAATTTGAATAGACCACAAACCACAGCGTCTATGCATCAAGCTACGAGGGATTGAAGATGACTTGTGAGTGCATATGTGTGTTTGTGATTTCAGCACTTTGTACGTGACTCCATACTCAGTGCTATAGTGTGCCATGTATTATTCATGTGTTTGTGTATGTCTGTATCTTTCAGGCTCAGGCAGACAGGATGGACGTGAACCTTCCTAACAGCGACAGTGTGACAGCTGTGATGCTCGCTGTCAGGGACATTGACCTGTTTGAGAGCATAGCGACACCTTTGCCATGGGACCACAGACCTGTGGAGGTGGTCA